AGAGAGAGAGAGAGAGAGAGAGAGAGAGAGAGAGAGAGAGAGAGAGAGAGAGAGAGAGAGAGAGAGAGAGAGAGAGAGTCGCACACGAAGTTTTGAGTCTCGCAGCCTCAAAACTTCATACATTTCTGTGTTCGTTCTCATTTGTGATGGAAAACTCATTTCTTCAGTCACGTACGTTCCCCCTGCCGCGGCGTTGCCGCAGCGCGTTTACTTGTTTCTTATAAAAGGGTTACGGCCTTGAGATATTATTATGCAACTGACCGGCCCTATATAGTCCAGCGGAGTTTGAACTCAGGTTTGCAGTTCAACAGTTCAGAGGTAGACCAACTGAGCTAGGCCAGATGGTACTTGGTTCTTTTTTTTTTCAATTTTTGGTTAACTTATTTACTAATTTTCTGTGTGTGTTTGTGTGTTTGCACTCTTGCATGTCTGTGTGTGCTTCCGTCCGTTTAGATCACAGATGCTCCAGAGATTCATTCAAATGGTTTCCATGTCAAGTTCGACATTCAGGAGAACAAATCACTGGGGTTCATCTTGCCGAGCTGGTTGGAAAGCCCAGCTCTGCATCTGAAGGACTTGGTGCCTTCAGACTTCGATAGCAGTCGAGTGGAAAGCTGTCTTGACAGGTCAGGCAAGTGTTGGACAACACGTATCGACCTACCACTGAAGGAATCAATAAAGTTGCTTGGAGTTGCAGGGCTCGGATCAAGGTTCACCGATATTCAGCCGTCTTTACTGTTGTTCCTCCACAAACTGAGGAGGATTGACATTGTGGATACGATTTTGCAAAAGAGGACATCGATGATACGAGAGGATGGCGCGGACGGCATGGTGCGTGTGACACATGATGGTGGGTCAGCGATATGGCTGGTCAGCCGGGAATGTTTCCATCCCGAGATTCCTCGAGGGTCACTGAAAGTGGAGAAAACAGAGGTTGCTCTTGCGTTTCCACTGCTGGAGAAGGATGATGGCAGCCTTGAGGTTCTACGAGCATGGCAGTATGCTTTTGCATACCTCCCGCTGCGCTCATACGGCCTGAGGTTTGTCATCCAGGGGGACTTTGTTGTCCCATCTTCTAGAGAGGATGTTGATCGAGATAGTGCTTGGAACCAATGGCTTCGCTCTAAAGTGGTTGATGTGTTGGTCAGATCTGTGGATGCGTTCAAAAGGGTACGCTGGGGTGGCGCTCCCAGTGATGAGACTGAGACTTCAACATGGATAGCAACAGCTATTAACAAATTTCTGGCATTTATGCCACTCGAGGGCGAAGTAATGGGATTCTTCTCGTGCCTTCCACGTATGATCATGTCTCGCCTGCGTACAATGGCATTCCTTCCTGTTGAGAGTGAGCAGGTAAAGGTTCCGCGAGCCCACTCACTGAAACTGTTGCATTTGACATTTGATAGACTTGCTTCTCGCTTGCAATGCGTGATGAGATAAGCAAAGAACTCAGTACGCTGGCCGTATGATCGACAATCTGTTTGTTCCTTCACCCTCTCTATTTGCTCTAATGTCCTGCTGTTCTTGAGTCACCTGTCTGAGAAGCACATGTGCACAGTGAGGTGTCCTGCTGTTCTTGAGTCACCTGTCTCAGAAGCACGTGTGCACAGTGAGGTGCCTTAAAACACTAGCGTCTTTCCAGCCATTGGCAGGGTAGGCAAAAAGGGAAAAAAATCGTACCTGCGTGTTTTTTTTTTTTTTTTTATCGAACTGCTGCGGATATCCCTGTTGGGAAGAAAGAGGCTCTGATATACTTGTGGTTCAAACAGCGCCAGACCTGAAAGGGGGAAGTCCTGCCCTGCACTGGTCTAGAATTCCATCCCTCCTAGGCTCTGAGATACTGGTGGTTCAAACAGCGCCAGACCTGAAAGGGGGAAGTCCCGCCCTGCACTGGTCTAGAATGCCATCCCTCCTTTCTGTTCCCTCCTGGCAAGTCTCTACACATCCCTCATATATGTGCTTCCAATTTAGCATGCTTCTGCAATTTGCTCCAAGCTAGGGACCACCCTCTACCGAGCAGTCTGGAATATCAGTTGTAACAATTCCTTCAAAGCATTTTTTCATTTTTTTATAGCGAGGCACCCTGTGCAACGGTGCTCTTCATAATGCCCAGGCATTGGTCTGATTCCCACTTACGGAAGAGAACAGGGAACATTGACTGCCATGTCTCTCTCCTCTGCATCAACCTGTTAATCGTGTGTTTGGATTTCAAGATTGTGACTCACTCTTGGCACTAACAAGTGCGTTATTTGTTTCTTGTCTTTTGCCATGCCAGTTGGTTTGGGCTTTGCCGTGCCAGGTGATCGCTAGTTGGGATGACTTGGCCAAACAAATTCTTCCAATGGAGCTTCTTAAGGACGAGCTTGGCCTTTCCCTTCTTCACAGAAAAGTCGTAATGCCAGAGTCGTTGAGAGCAAGTTTGGGGATACAGGTTTATGGTGAGAAGATCCTGCTCCAGGTCTTGAGACTTCTTTTGGACAAGGACTTGGTGAAACCAAGAGGCATTCGTTGGCTTGCAATATGGATGGCTGCGATGTACCGATTGCTAGGAGCTGGTTGGAGTGATGGCATGCAGAAAACGGCGAGGAATTCAGTTGGAAATTGTGGCGCTGAAACTGCACGGATCATTGCGGAGTTGCGTTTGCTGCCATTCGTTCCTCTCACTGACAAATCGTGGATCGCAGTTTCATCCAATGATGTCTGGTATGTTCCCGGGGGCTCCAAGAGCACGCCACCTGCCTTAGCTCAATATCCACATATTACTAAGGAGCTGAGAGTCGTTGAGCCATCGCTTTTGAGCTGTGTTGAACAGATCACTGGGGATGTAGAGGGCCGCTCAGAAACAACAGAGTTGCTCGAAACAGAACTCCGCGGAGTGAAAGCCAGTGAAGTGCTTGGACTTGTGGAACTGCTTGGTGTAAAGCCTCTTTCTGAGCATGGAGTGGTGGAATGCCATATCCTTCCAGCAATGCAAAGTGAATCAGTACACAGTAAACACCATGAGGTGCTGTTGGAATACATGTCATTTATCAGGGAGCATGTGGGCCGTGCGTGCCGCCAGTGTGAGAATGGTGGACAAGATAGATTGATGGATCTCGTCCGTCGATTTGGAGTTTTGGTAACAACTGGGGGACTGAAGACTCCAGCCAGGGAGCCAGTGCATTTTCCAACAGCGATGGGAAACCTGTTGCGGATGGGTGAGATACTTGATGGACTAAGTTTCCCATGGAACAAGGTGGATGAAAGGTACCTGAGGGCATTTGAGAAATGGCAGAGCAACAAAGGGGGCGCCAAAGACAGACTCGTCCAAGATTGTCGGGGGTTTCTTCAGCAGTTGGGGGTGACAGACTTTGTTTGTGTGCGTGAGGAGACTGTTCGGGTTGGAAGAGGACATGAGAGCAAATGGGGCAGTGAGAAGTGGTTTGGTTCAATGAAAGAAGGACAATTGTGGTCTGTACATGACTATGTGTCGGCTGAGCTGGAGCAGCTGCTCGGCGCACTCTGCTCAACAGGTGCGAAAAATGGGTCAGATGGTGCTCCTCTGGAAAGTGCCGACTTGCCAGATGCAAAGCGATTGATGCAATCAAAGGTGTTGGTGGAGACAATGGATCAACTCTGGACTGTACAGTATGACAAATTTTTGTCAGCGAGTTACTACCGAACCGGTGTGAATGCGGAAGATGACGAACAGGTTGGAGAGACTCTGTCAAGCTTTGCTATGCTGTTGCGCGACAAGTGGTTGATTCCTGGCAATGATGGAAGGCTTCATCCCCCATCCAGTCTGTTTGAAGATCGGCCAGAGTTGAAGCAGCTTCTTGGAAAGCTTGTGACCTTTGCCACGCCTTGCGTAAGTCATTTCATTACCAGTCAAAATTTTGGTACCTTTGCCACCCCTTGTGTAAATCCGTAAATCAAATCATAGGACAACCGAAAAGGCACCTAAAATGAAATATTGTAGTCTGCCCTCTGTAGAGAATGCAGAATTTTACCGATGGGCCTAGAGTCTAGACCAGTTGGTACACCATGAACTTTTGACATAGAGACCCTAGTTAGAATCCAGATGGAACCAGTTGGGTAGAATAAAATCATTCTGAATTATCCCGGCCGGGTCAGTTCAAGATGATGGGCCTCGCTGCCAGACCATAGACCACATGTATTTGGGAGGCCCTGATGCTCGTCCATCCCAAGCCGGGAGGAAAGCAGACTGCAATTGATGCAGCTTTGCTGAAGTTATATGCTTCTGCGATGTCCCTACGCTCTGGGGAAAGAGTTATGGGTTTGGGTTTCAGCTCGTGCAGTCAGAGTAACAATGCTGTCCGAGGTGCAAGCCCAAGAATGGACCTCACTCCACTACATGTATCTCCGCTACATGTATCTGGACAGACTTGCAGGCAATATACTTTCGGACTGAAGACCCACCGTATGTAAAAAAACAAAAACAGAAAACGCTCTACCTGCATGAGCTGAGACCTAAACCCATAACTTTTCTGCTGTTGAGCCATACTCTGGAAGAGCTATAACTTTTGGCAAGGTCCTTCTCCCAGCACATCTCGTTCAGCCTCTGGGGTACTGATATATGGTGGCATACGCCCTAGTACCCTTATGGTTGCATACGGCCTAGTACCCTTATGGTGGCATACGTCGCCAGGAGCATGCAGTCTTGTACATCCATGGGAGCAGACTCTGCAGAGACACGTGTGGTGGAGAATTGTTCCTGCGCTATCTAAACGATATGCAACCCAAAATGCAGGCGATGTGAACATGACCTCTAGACATGCCGGCAAAGTGGTCACAAAACAAGGCACATACATGCTTGATCGTGTTGCTAGGAACATACAAATTTGTGGATCTGTGGGAGCAGATATGGATGGTGGACAAGTGTCCCATAATTCGTGGCAGTGTGAGCATTCCGTGCAGCCATGCCTGCCAAGTAGTAACAAAAAACAAGGCACATGCATCCGGTGGCCATTCTTTTGACACCTATGATTATTAATGGCATAAAGAGGCTAGTTTCATTGAATGTCACCTACGGTAAATTGCACAAAGAGGCCCATTCATTCCAATCTGCCTTGGTTCCCACGAGCCCTTCACTCGTGCTTTTAGCTTCTTAGGAACGTTCTCAGTGCATGGATCTTAGAAAAGGTTCAGGATGTTAAGGAGAGTGTGGAGGAAAATGCAGGGCTCATTGCTTGACAGAGAGGGGTGAGATTTAACAAATATGGCGAAACGTTCAAAAGACTCTTTAATGTCCTTCTCCGTAGCCAAGTTCTTCCTTCCCCCCTGCCCCGCCGGCACCCCTCATCTGTTTTTTTATATGCCCTTCAACAGTCATGTTTATAAGCCTTCGGACGCTGGCCATGGAAGGGGGGCGAGGGGGGCTGGGTGGCGGGGATTCAAAAGATCTGTGGTGCAGAGCCTTAGAAGCCCTCCCGCAAAGTATTGTGTGGGGAAGTCAGCAAAATACCTTTTCAGCTCTGCGGTCGAAGTGAAGAGAAATTGCACCTGGTACCAACTTGGCTAAAGATTTTGACTACCAAGATTGAGTTGAATTGAGATGATTACGATCTCAAGTTGATCAACTTGTGGTCTTGTGAGCCCTGTAGATTCACTGCTCGGAGACCTGGTCGTCTATGGAACTTGTGGATGAAGTCGGCACAGCTAAACAGTAGCAGTGGTCAGTAGAGATCCTAACATCAGAATTTCATTTCAGAAGTCATCCCTAGGCTACCCCCGGGGGGGCTCAGGGCCAGCTGCTACTTCCTAGATCACCAACCAGGCAGGTTGGGCAGGGGAGACCCACTCACAGTAGCGGGAAGTCCCAGCCCGGAAAACCCAGGCCATGGGGCTCAACCAGCAAAAAGGAGGGGGGAAAAGCCTGAAATGTCACCAAAACCCGGCCTTTGTGGACGAGCGATACACACATGTTATTGACACTTGTTGTTGATAAACCGATCATGAGTTCAAGTCCTGACAGAAACCCCAGACACCCTTTCCCCAACCAATCTGGGACTGGCTGTGGGCTGGGTACATAAATTTTTTGATCCTCCCGGGTCAATTAACTGCACAGTAACCATATGCATTGCATTTGTGCCAGAAGTCTTTTGGTATGTAAAATATTTGTTTCTGAAGTTTTTCCAGACATCGGGGTGAGTCTGCTGCGTACTGGTTCTTTGAACCTGTTTATATCCTCCAATGCCCCCTGGGGCGACCCGTCACCAAATTGGATGGGAGGCCGCGGAAGATAAAGAGGCCCGTGGGGGGTTGGCTGACAGGGGAGATATCGAGGGAGGAAGGGGTGAGGCAAAACAGGGAAAGGCGGAGGGAAGGAGGTCCGGTGCAGAAGATGCTTGCAAGATGCTATCCATGCAAAGTAGGGCAGAGGGGCATTGTTGAGGCAGAATGGAAGGGGAGTTTTGAAGGGTTGCAACAGGCCATCCGTGCAATTGGGATAGGTGTCCTTGATGCAGGAGGGGGTAAGAGGAAGGCATAGGGGGTTTCCAATATACTATGCACTCAATGTAAGAGGAAGGCATAGGGGGTTTCCAATATACTATGCACTCAATGCGGCAAGGAAGGGACGAGGAGTGTGGAAAGGGTCCACATTGTGCTATCTAATATCTATGCAAAAAAAGGCAAGGAGTGCAGTGTCCAACTGGCACAGTATGGTATCCATGAAGCGGCAGCTTTGTGTGTGTGGGCAGGAGGAAGTTGAGGGGCCCTGTATCATTAGTGCAACCCGAGCTATTATCCCAGTGCCAACGGATCAGCATACTTTGTGTGTGTGTGTGTGTGTGTGTGTATGTGTGTAGCATGCTTTCAGCTGTAGTTTGTGTTTGGGTGGCATCCTTCTGGGTAACACCCTTTGTCCAAACATTGGGCCCCAGGATCATGCACACACTGGTCTGGTACTGCTGATGTTGGCATTGGAAATTGATTATGCGTTTGTTGGTTTGCCGTTGGTCTTGTCGGCTCAGACAAGAAATGGATATGGATTTCCATGCAGCCTGCCTCCCTTAACGGTTGGCAGTCCACTTTTTCTGCTCAAAAGTTTTGGTTCAAGCAAGGTGGTAGGTAGCAGGGTTGAGCCCCGTTGCCTGGTGTGTCATACTCGTCATCGAGTAAGCCTTAGCTGTGGTGTGACATTGTCAGATGACATAGATTGTGTCATAACTGACACTTGTGGCACTAGCGCCCGTTGTAGTGTACCGCTGTGGTAAGAAGGATGGAGATTGTGCATGTTTGCAATGCCCTGTTAGACCACACCACCACTGTCCTCTATGGTCTGCCTGGATTGAGCGATATCCACTCACTTGTCCTTCTCCACCATGCTCTTGTCCTGTCTTGCGAATTTACAGAAGCTGAATGAGCAGCACATGCGGGGTGTTTGTAACCAGCTACGTAGTAGCTTGGAGAGAGGCCTGGAGTGGCCATATAGATGAACTGCCCCTAACTACCTCTGCTGGCGGATTCTGCGCAGGTGATGGGCGTTGATCTCCAACCAAAACTTCAGGCCCTTATTGCTGATGACTCCAGGGTCAGGGAAAACAACCGACCCTAGAAAATGGGTTTCGAGACAGCGGTTGTGTATAGATTGTTAAACACACCCCGAGTCCCAGACAGGCCCAGCGATATTTTTCTCGAGACTTTTGTTTGACTGGCTTGGTCTTGTGTTGAGATCTGTGTGTAAAGCAGGGTTTACACTACACCAATTGATGGCAGAAGATCAATACTGTCAGACTGAATAAGGTGTGGATATCCGCTGTATGATAATTTGAGCTGTACTATACTGTTTGATATTGATTGTTGCTCGAAGTATCTATTGGTGATCCATTATCTCAGTACTCAATAAGGCCAGGCTTCACTTTTTTGCAGCAATGCTTGATCAGTTAAACGACAAGTAATACGCAGTGTCCCATTTTTTCTGCCTTTGTACAAGGTAGGCCACTGTCAAGCTTGCGAAGAGCCAGTGCAAATCAGAAGGTCATCTCTATTGGGAAGTGCATGCATCCACATACATCCACAAACATCTTCTCCGACCAAGCCCGGCTTGAGTGTGGCCTGGTGGAGCAACTCCGCAAATAAAACAGGCTCGGGAGGATGATGGTTTGAGACCAGAGTTCACGAACTCGTGCACATGATGCTGTGGTGGTCTTTGACTGACAGTGTGCAGAACAAGCATGATAATGACAGTGCACACTGATATGCTGCAGATAAAGGCGAGGTCATTTGTGAAGGCCCTTGGATTGAAGACGGACATATCAATTGAGGAAATGATTGGTTTGTTTCGGAAGTTCTGTACCAACGGCAGGAGCGTTAGTGTCAGGTGAGCAGCGACCTGTTTGTGATCTGCATTATTCCTTTTGCTCTGCCTAGGCATGTGTGTTCGGTGGTGGGGATGTTCAGGCAGGGGACAGCCTGGGACTTGTGAGTGCCGATTTGCGGGACAACTGAACCAGACAATAAGGAGCCTTGCCAGTTGGAATCCCCCTTTCCACTTTTCCCAAGGATCTCAAGAGAGGATGGAGTACAGGCAGGGACAAAGGGAAAGGAGTGCATGCTGGCAAAATGAACTAATCGTATGCAAATGGCAGCTGACACCCTGAAAGGAGGTTCAATGCACATCATATGATATACGCAATCATATACAGATGGAAATGGCGCAACCTTGGAGGAGAACATCATTCCGAAATGCATGGGCTTCAGCTGGGGATCCACCAGCTCTCTGAGGGCATACTCACACTAGGACTCTTTTACTGAGCGCTAGAAGTAATTGCGGGCAGATGCATCCGCATATAGTCACAATCATATCCAGATACATCCCCAGTTCTTACTAATATTCAAAAACGAAACTTGGAAAGAAAAAAAGACTCTGTGGTCTTAACTCCGTTCTGTTCTGAGAAGTGACTGCGGTCTTCATGTTGTTAGAAACACAAGTGGACCTGGCCCGGCGACGCCACGGCATAGTAGAAGGGCATGAGACAAAGAGGCGAACGGGACACCCACACCATGCAGCTAAAAGCACACCTCGTGAGCACGCTAAAAACGTATCGGCAACTCGAAAAGTGCCCCAAGTACAGAGATACAAATCAGCAACATGTGGATCTCTTTCTCTCCCTCTCGCTGTCTCCCTCTCTGTCTCTCTGTCTCTCTGTCTCTCTGTCTCTCTGTCTCTCTGTCTCTCCGTCTCTCCGTCTCTCTGTCTCTCTGTCTCTCTGTCTCTCTGTCTCTCTGTCTCTCTCTGTCTTTCTCTTTTATGGTCACATACAGACGCTCTTGTCCTGAGGAAAGACTCTGTTTTTGGTTAGGTCTCTGCGCGCAGATTACGAGGATGGAGCATCATGTCTGTGTCCTTCTCTTTCTGGGAATCATCCCGTGAAAGTGTTTCCCGTCTGTGTCTTTTGGTCTTGTCTGTGGGATTACTCGACTGAATTCGCCTGCAGTGATAAGAATGTAGCCGCGTCGCAGAACATGTTGCAAAGACGTTTCCAAAGGGTTCTTGGTGAGATGCAGTGATTGGTTGATCCTCGGGATCATAGATGTGTGTGAGCTTTCCAATCCAAGCATGTGCTGAAACAACTCAGAAGATGAAAAGAAACAGGAATGACAAACAGAAGGCAGAAGACAGACACCTATCATACATTTCCCCTCCACCTCCTCCTCCTGTCCAATCTGCTCCTCCACGATCTGCGCCCCTTACTTGTCTTCTTCCACCACGTCCTCCTCCCCCTCTTGAAACGTGCCTGAAAAAAAAAAACTCTTTCCTACCTCATCCCTTGTCCAGTTTACAATCTGCCTGCCCTCTCAACCCTGCCATTGTTCTTCTTCTCTTTTTTTCCTTTCTCACAGCGCCGAATATCATTGCCATCGATTTCCTGGTGCTCATCTGCTACTGAGAAAACCACCTCATGAAGACACTAGTAGTATTATAGCACTATGTGCCATTGTTCCATTGTCTTGATGCGTAGTAATTCATGTATGCATCTACTGTGTACTGTTGAATGTCTTGGCTCAGGCCATTGTAGGATTTGTTCCGTATCTCCGATGTCGTGTTCTTTTTTTGACTTGTTTTACGTCAGATGGTATAACTCATTGTAAGTCCTTGAACAGAGGAGGTTAATTAATGTGGGTATATCATCATTTCATCATTTTTGCATGAGTCCTGACAAATTCCTTTCTTTGATTTGTTTCATGTTCGGTGGGGCAACTCAGTTTGGCACAGATGGCACGTATTTACAGCTTCTTCAGGAAGTTTTTGACTACTCACAGAGACAGAATTGAGGCTACAATGACCGATATCCCATCAGTCTTTGTGCCGTATCCCTGTGGAGGCAACTTCCCGCCGCGCAAGGACAGTAGTCAGGAAGGGCGGTTTTGTTGTGTATCTGAAGTATGGTGGTGCGACCCCACGGGCGTGGCCTCCTTGCTTCTTTGTGATGGTGACAAGTTTCCAAAGAGAGCCAGTGTGGATGCGGATAGAGAAGAGACAATGGGTAGTGCTGTGCCAGATGCACCTCCAGATGAAGAAGATAATGCAAATGTCAGCGGCAGAGAAGTAGGCAAAATATGTCCTCATCCTATTGAGCCTCTCTATCCTGATCTGAAAGGTAGGCTGATGGCGACGTGGATGTTTACACATCACAATCATATTTATGTTATGCTGGGCTGGACACCATTAGCAGTAATACCTCCTTGCATGTAATTCAGAGGGGTGCCGCATGGGTGGTTGTTTGGCTGCTCTGCAGACTGGCAGATGAAAGAGATCAAAATGTTGAGTGCCAACTCATTTTGCTGAGTCTGCTCTGCTTTAAGGGTGAAGATAAACATGGAACACCAACCTCAATGATGCAACCAACCATCTGATTCTGACCGGTCCCGTCGCGTTCATGCAGTCATCATGTCATTTGGTGCTACTCCATGAAGGCAGTTAATCTCTGTCTGGAAATGATCATTGAGCCAGATAATCACGGTTTGGCAGTTTGCTATTTAACAGAATTCAAAAGCTGCGTTAAAATCTGGGCCGCTTGGTGGCCCGGCCTTCGTCTGGTTGAGGTCCCGGGTGGCCTGGCCGGTTGCGTTCCCCTGTTGAACCCCATCGTCAGTTGCTGCTGTCGCCATTGTCGGTGAAGCCCCCGTCAGTCTTCTTCTTCTTCTTCTTCTTCTTCTTCTTCTTCTTCTTCTTCTTCTTCTTCTTCTTCTTCTTCTCCTCCTCCTCCTTTCGTCTTCTTCTGCTTCTCCTCCTCCTCCTCCTCCTTTTTGTTTTCTTCTCCTCCTCTCCTCCTCGTCTTGTTTTCGTCTTTTTTTTTTTTAAGTCTCCTTCTTCTTTCTCCTCCTCCGCCTTTCCTCTCCTTCTTCCTCACCTCCTCCTCCTCTTCTTGTCTTCATCTTCTTTTTCCTCTCCTCCTCCTCCTCCTCCTCCTCCTCCTCCTCCTTCTTCTTCTTCTTCTTCTTCTTCTTCTTCTTCTTCTTCTTCCCCCCCTCAGTGAATTGGCTGCTGCAACACACCCTTTTACCCCCTTGTCAAACCCCCTCTCCCCCCTTCCCTCAACCTCCCCCAGCTCCCCCCAACCACCCAACACACATGCTCTTTCACAAGTTTCTCTGCGGATTTGGGCTCCTCTCAGTGAGCGCAGTCCAACCCCATCTTCAAAAAAATGAATAAAATAATTCCTGGGACGTTTTTTTGGCTCGTCTGGTTTTGCCGGACGGACCCCCCCCCATTCCATCTGGCCCGGACCGTCTGGACTGGGCGTTGACCTAACCCAGGCTGTGTTGGTCCCCGGGCGGCCCGGCTGGGGGAAGGTTGCCCGGGTACCATCCCGGGCGGCCCGGGCTGAGCAGGTCCCGGGCAGGGTCCTGGGTGATCCCAGCACATAATATTTAAAAATTTAAGGAAATTAAAAAATCCGCGATTTTTTTTTTGTGTGTAAAATAACTGCAATACAAACGACTGTTGGCTGAGGGACACCTCGAAATTCCTTGTTAGTTTTAAGATAAAAATAAATGAGAAAACATGAGTCCAAAATGTATGCTTTTAATCCCGTTAGCCACTGTTTATACCCCCCAAACTCCCCTGGATGACCCATCACCAAAACCGAAGTTAAGACCGGATTCTGACTGCTTAGGCCAAGCGCAGTCCTGACCTGAAGTCTTTTTTTTTTTGGGGGGGGGGATCCTCGCCTCTTTTTTGACCCGTCTGGTTTTGCCGGGCGGCCCCCCCTATGCCCAACTGGCCTGGGTGCCCAACTGGCCTGGGCGTGCCGGTATGGGCGACGACCCAACATAGGTTTTGATGGATGAATTCTACTCTCATGCTCGAGCTTTTGATGATAAGGTACTCATTGATTGCTCTCTGGAGTTGATTGTAAGTCCGTCTTGGTGACTCGGCTTTGAGATCCTGGATGATGATCATTATCTTCATCAAGCTACAGAAAGGTGTCCATGATCCCTGTCCTGAAACAGTTGAGGCAATGTTTTGAGTGAAAGGCTTGGATGCAAGATATGTTCCCCCCTGTTGCTGCTGTGTTATTTCCGTCATGTAGTAGAAGAAAATGCTAATACCGTGGAATTTGTGGTTAACACTGTTAACAGGAAAAAAAAAATGAAAAAAAAAAATGATAACAGCAGCCATCCCCGTGCACAGGGGAGCTCGAATGGATTGAAAGGATTTTTTACTTTGGGTGGGCATATATCTCATTATGGAATTTATGGTGGCTGTGCAGATTTCTTTGTTGGTTCGGGCTTGATTAGAGAAAATCTGTCTTTGCGTGGACAGTTTCGGCTGCTGGAAAGATTTGTGGCAACTGCTGCTGCAAACACTGATGTTGCTGTGGGGAAGGTAAGCTGGATCTCCTTTGTCTTTGGCTCCTTTTCTCTCCTTTTGCTCCCATGCCCTGTGCTCCCTCGTGCTCCTTTTCTCCTTCATCTTCATGTGATTGAGCACCTATCCTCCTCCTCTTCATCATCATCATCCTTGTCCTCCTCGTCCTCCTCCTGCTCTTCCTTCTCCTCCCCCCGTCCTCCTCTATGTGCTCCTTTTCTCCTTCATCTTCATGTGATTGAGCACCTATCCTCCTCCTCCTCCTCATCATCATCCTTGTCCTCCTCGTCCTCCTCCTGCTCTTCCTTCTCCTCCCCCGGTCCTCCTCTATTTCCTCTGCCTTCTTCCTCTTCTTCTCGTTCCCCCTCCTCCACTGTGTGCGTGACAGGAGGTTGTGATACTCTTTTCCCACTTTCTGGAGAGAGTGTTTTTCCCGGTGGTGTATGCAGACTCTTATGTCACACGATCGGTCCTAGGGTGCATTGCTGTCATAGCCTTATAAACGAATATCGTGTATTTTTTGTACAAGCTGCTTTCATGTAGCAGCTAAGTGATGCTGCTTTTATGTATGCAGGTGATGTCCGTGTTCAAGGCTTGGGCATCTTCACTAGCTCGGTCTGGTCTACGCGAGGACGGTCCCGAGCACAGCGCTTGGACAATGTTGGGCAAGGCCTCTGTTTTCCCGACAGTGGATGGAAATTGGGTGACTGCTGCTGAGTGCTACGCTCCAGATGATGAGAAGCTGTGTTCATATTTCGAAGGACATGAGGTTTGTCCCTGTTCATTTATACATCTCGACGATCTCGTCCTTTTGTCTCCCATCCCTGTGTTGTCTTCTTGCTCCTCTGACTTTGGGGTAGTGGAAGCATGGAGCAGTACTGAAAATTACATCAGCGACTCTGGGATGCCGCTGGGGGTGCAGAAGGGACTGCACATGGTTCTTTACGATAGTGAAGGCTCTTTTGTCTGGGTGCAGCATTTGTGAATCATTTTATCAAGCCATAGTCCATCATCAGTCATTTCATGCGGAGGGCTTCCATCTCAGGTTCATGTAACACCACCTTCCATCATGCGTGTCGCCTTGGATCATCGTACTTCCCCTGCTCATATAGAATTGAGAATGTTTCAGGATAAGTATCATTGTACCTCCCCTACTGTTCTTTCTATCCATGGGTCAAACTTCATCCTGAATGCCTTCGAACTTCCCCCAGACCACTCATATTCCAGCTATAAGTATTAGACCTTGAGGTCTCCAGTCAGGTTTAAGGGAAGGAGTGTAGGCGTTTTTCCTAATCACATCCATCCCAACCTGGTCATCTATTTGCTAGGCAATTATTTGGAAGGAGGTCATTCAGTGGAGCCTGTATTACCGCTGTTATTTGTTATGCCTCCTGGTGAGTTTGCAACTTTGCATCCTTCTCCTCGGAGTGTTTCTGGGATTTGTAATCCCGGAAAAAAATCCAGATCTGCTTGTTGTTCCCCATTCCGTTCCTCCATGGCACTGGCCAAGAACTCATCTCCATAATCGACATCCATTTCAGATGCCATAGCTCTTGACTCAAGGTCATCAAAAGTGCTCTCCCTAACCGATGCAAGAGAGGTTGCAAGGAGTTTGCCAAGACACTGTTGGGAATGGCTGCAGTAGTATGCCAGGATCGCTGCATCATGCCACCCTTTAGCTTGGTGTCTTTTGGAACTTTTGCTATCAGGGGATTGAATAGTCTGGGCTCATTGTTGTCAATCTCGTCTGCCTGTCCTGCATGTCCGCTATGGTCCGTGTGGCATACTAAATCGCTGTCGGTCTTAATGTGTCGAATACCCTGAGAGGGGAAGTATGTGTAATTTTTTTCACCGGTTAAGGTCATGGCGCTCTGACCCTCTTCGAGCTTCAGTAGGGCGAAGGAGGCATCTGTTGATATCTACAACTCCCGATACTTCTCAACAAAACGTGCTGATACTAGTGGCGGGATGCTCATCGTGCATTTTCGAGTGGTCACTGACGCAGTCAGGTGGAGCAGCCTTGCCATAGGCAATCTGTTGCAGTGAAATGATCAGTGTGAAGTTTATGGAGTTTGTCCATTTGTGCCTCGGTTGCAGTGATTCCTTTCTTCATGTCCTCTTGATCTTATCATTCTTATACTGTCGTTCTGGGGTGACACTGTGTCCCTGCGTTAGTTCAGCCTGGTCTTCCACTTCTTAGATCTCAGATCTCTGAAGGAGTCATCTGATTGAGACTGTTTCTTGTCTTGCACCGGAGTGGTATTGTTGGGCGCTCGACCCCTCCCTCTTTTCTTCGGTGATATACTCTGACAGTTTGTCTGGTCATTTTAGCTCCTCAAAGTGATTGGGAGAAGTGTGGATCCTAGCGACTTTACCGTTTCTTTTGGTCCTTTATACATGTTTTGTGCACACTGTTCTAATGTCGAAACAGTGTTCCCTTTCTTTCTCTTTCTTTCTTTCCTGTTGCGGTGTACTCTTGAACCCATCTCGTTGGTGACCATTGTGGTGTTGGATCACTTGTGTCATACCCTTGTCACCGGAGTTTGAGTCTACTCACTTTTCTATCTGATTGTTAGATATTCTTGCCACAGGCTGCTATCGCACAACGTTTCTGGTATTCCCCGTGGGTATCATCTGTAGAGTGTTCTTTTGCTGCCTGTGTGTTCTTCCTTTTTTTCAGTCTGTTCCGTGGTGTCCAGTTTCCGTTTATGTTTCAGAAATTGATTTTAAGTGTGGTGTTTGAGATGCTCTTGTTCCTTTTGCTCTCTGATGGTGTCCAAGTCCCACAGCCAATCTTCACGTGCTTTGTTCACAGATAACTCTTGAGTCGGTGATAGGGATTGTGCCACATGGGTTATTGGGGTTTGAGACTGTTCATTAGCTCCTTCTTTGTGCCATCTGCTATCTGGTGAAGGGACTATATCTGGTTTATATTTGTCTGTGGTTCTCTTTCTGTGTAATGCCGAACCCAGTCAGTTCTGGCAAATTGCCATGGAAGACCCATCCCTCGCCGAGCGGATACCAGCATGCTTGCCCTCAGCTTGCACTCTTTGACTTGTGCAGGAAAGTTAGGGCACGCCCGATCCGTCCCCAAGTGTCCTCTGTCCCTGCACCTGAAGCAGATTGGCAAGGATTTGGTGGAAATCATCACAAAATGCGATATTCCTTCTGTTATCATCCTCCACGTCTTAGGGAAAACAGGGGGACGATCAGTCAGTCTTGACCTGAAGTGTTGCTGTCGTTGTCCCACAGTGAGGTGAGATGAATTCAGGAGAAGGAAGGACCCATTTTGCCAAATTTCGTTCACTGGGTAGTCTTCTTGAATTCTGTCTGCTATTGGTCCATGCCACTCTATGATAACCTGGTTGGATATCATCGAACTGAACTCCGAATTGCTCTTTGAGCAACTTCTGTTTGTATATGACCGCAGAAGTGGGGTCGAGTCTTTGCATAGTCTTACCATGCATATCGTGGGGTTGCAGTTTCTGGATTGCGTGTCCAAGACTGTTTTTTGCATGTTCTTCCTTGGTGAAAACTAGCACGATGGTGTTCCATCCTAGGTTTTGCATGGAGAGAGTTGGCTTTCACAATGATTTCTTCTTCTTGGCCAAGGACGGTAATAGGCTTTTCGACCACTTTCTGGCCTTGAGCGTTGCTAATGTGACCTTTGCGAGCTATTGGCCATCTGTTGCACTTCATTTCTGATGAAGCCCGCCAGGTGGTGTCCAGCTGAAGTATGCATTGTCTCCCCATATTTAGGGGGGACAGGCGGAGGTTGATGGGGGGTTGGGCACAGAGCCAACGTGGAAGGGGGTGACCGAAAGCTGGAATAGTTGGAAGGTGAGGGTGGTGAAATCTGGGGAAAGGTGAGTTGGAATGGAGGAGAAGGGGAAGTAAAGAGTGTTAGGGGGCTGAGACTGTTAGCCAGTTGGGGTTAAACCACCAGTCCCTCCGCCGGGACGAAATTGACAGACAGGTGATTCTACCTCAACGAGGGGGGGGCACAGGAGAGGTTGGCGTATCGGATGCGGGGTTGAGACTGTTAGCGAGTGAGGGGTTAAACCACCAGTCCCTGCGACATGACGAAATTGACAGACAGGTGCCCCCACCTCAATGAGGGGGGCCACAGGGGAGGTCGGCCTACCAGTTGCGGGGGATTGGTGGCAGCATGCAAAATTTTAAGTGCACTAACTTCGACGATTTTTTATGTTCAGATGTTTGCGCAAAAATTGGGAAAAAAATCAGGTGTATAGATTCGGTGCAAATCATTTCGGGGAAAGTATTTAAAAAGAAAAAAGAAAATCTAAGATGGCAAAATAAACTCTAGCGGCAAACGTTTGCATTCATGTGCTGCTTTTGCATCATTTTTAGTTACACTGCTACCAGAAGGCCAAACATTGTCTGTGAAGAAACGCAACCGGTCCCTTAAGATTCTGGACAGGGGCAAGGATGAGGGTTTGAGCTTTGTTAGTTTTTGCCCGTCGGTTGTGGATGATTTGAACTTGTCGTGAAAGACTCCTTCCATGATTATGTTCACTTCTCAGAGTGCTTAGTATTGTGCATGGGCACGCGAAAACCATTTTGGGGTGTACGCTCCTTCGATTCCTCCGATCAGCTTCAGTTCTGGCACGTGTTGTCGGACGTTTTGTCTGCCTCGCTACCTGTACTGGTCCAGTGTCGATTAGGAGGGTGCTTTGGCGGGCGCTAGCCAGACTTCTGAGGCCTCTGGTAGCAAAGCTGATGAGCGGAAAAAGGGATTTGAACCCTCAACCTTCTTAGCCTTGGCAAGGCTGTACTTTTCCATGGCTAGAAAGTTTGCAAGTTTATAGGAGGCTCTAATACCCACTCCCTGGCCAGTAGTGGTTGCCTACCACAGCACTTGAAAGCACCCACCTGTTTTTTTGTGTTTCTTGACACCCTTCACCTGAACCCACCCATAAAATGCGGCAAAGCTCTTGTAAATGCTCTCCCTCGGCAAAGGAAATGGACAGCCCTTCTTCGTGCCGAATGCCAACTTGGGCACTGCACTCCAAAGCTGGTCTCATTCTAAAGAACAGTGCTCACACGCACGTGTGGCACATGCAACTGAGACATTCTCGCATCAAGCGTGGTGGTGTGCACATGATGGGGCGTTGGAAGCTGGGGTTTAGCGGCTGCATTTGCTGTGGAGTTGTGCTAACAAACTGGCGCGTGCCCATCCACCTTTTTCAAACTCTTATTGTTATTGTCAAATTAATAGCTCGTATAACACCTTAATTCATGTACCTGATCAACACGCAACATCTGTTTGTTTCTTTGTACGTGAAGACATTGCAAATTTTATGTTTATCGAGGAGTTCTGAGGTTGCAGCAGGACAGGCAAAGAAACACGTTGGCAAAGCGGAGCGGAGAAAGAATGCCTCAGATAGCACCATCCCCAAAGCGTGGGACAGGCCATTCAGCCTTCAGGAGCTTGCACCATTCCTTCGGGCTGCTGGAGTCCGGTTCATCTCGGAGGTAAGCTACAATGTTGTACGTTGGTTCACAAGTCAAATCTTAAGATGGCATTGGCAGGAGCGTTTTCCACGTCTTGTTAACACTGTTATCCTTTCGCACCTGATTCACGCCTGATTCTTAGTGCTGCAACTCTTGAAATATTGAAATTATCGACGAGGAAGTGCCATGAAACAGTAGATACATAATACATTTTCACTTCCGAAGTTAAGACTGAGAAAGGTTGCCTTGCAAGTTTGTCTTGTCTTCAAATGCTATGTGAATGCCAGTAAGCTTTTTATCCTGTGCATTTGCGTTGTCCCTGTGCGATTGCTCTACCTTTCCGTCTGCTATCTTTGCCAATCTGACAAAGTACAGGAAAAAGAAGATGGGGCAGTTGGCAGTGTGTTCCTAGGAGATAGCGCACTAACAAGGTGGACACAGTTTTTTTTTTTTGTGATGGACCTACTTGACGACTGTTTGAGCAACTTGTTACGTTTCTGGGGATAGCGCACACAAAACCGATGAGCCGGTTGAGCCTGTTGTGAAGGTTCTGCGTGAACTGAATTGCCCAAGTTGTTATGCTCTCGATATGTCTGAACTCTTTCCCTCACAACCCTCACAAGCAAGGGTCATGATCTTCCTGTGATTCCGCCACCAAGGACGTGTGCAATGTGGCTTTGTGAAAGTGTCTGTCTTGAACTGCCCCACAGATGTTTTTCGACGATCCGATTCATTACATTGCATATTTCTTGCATTCTCTCTGAGGTAGCCATCCAGTGTTCGCCTTTGATTGATGGAATGACTGGTGGGATAGGGTGGACAGAGTGTTGGGTGCATTCAGCCTGTAGTTGTGATCCAGCAGAAGAAAAAAATACCGCTAGCAAGTCTGAAAAGATGGGAAATAGGACAGTAGGAAAATGACAAACAAAGGAAGTCTTGTGGAACTTGCCTTTTTTTGCATCGCCTATCGAGTTTTTTTTGTTCGTGTTGTGGGAGAATTAAATCATGGGACTTTGCTCTTCCTTTCAAGTTGTTGATGTCATTTGCAATTTGGACCGACCCTTGGCTGGAGAGAGAGGGGTGGTACTAGATAGATGGATGTGTTACATGTGACTTGCTGCTTTCTGCGACTACATCTCATCTGTCAACAAAACAATGACTCAACATGGAACAATTCCTTCACACTTACCGATATCCTGCACATCACCGTGTATTCGCTCGTATCAGCACATTCACAAGAATCACAACCACACGGGATGCTCCTTTTTTTCGCATGTTTGCTATACTGCTGCTATGCTTTTCCTAGGATTGATTTCAATTATCCAATGCCTGCTACTGTCTTCACCCGAATAGGACGCCCGGTCATTATTGCCATATGCAGACTGAAAGTTGCACCAAATACGGTTAGAATGACTGGGCGTTCTATCCGGGGGAAGACGGTAGGCATCATGGTTTCCACAACAGGTGCGAGATGGTACAAAAATATATCCAGGCTGTTGTGGGGTCGAAGTAGCGACTGTGAGACAAACAGGGAAGAGTTGAATATTTGATGAACATTTTTTTATGGCATGGAATTTTGCAACTGCAGGAAGCACAGCGAGAGATAATCACCGAAGGCCCGTTCGACAGCATGGAATTTCAGCATCTGGTGGTTCAAATTTTGTTCTTGTCAGTGAGGTTCATACATCATCTGCAACCTGCAGAGTACAGGAAATTTGTTTGTCATCCATCTTTTATGCGCCGGATAGAGCATCTGGAATGCCACGAGTGGGAATCTCTCAATGTGAAGTATACACTATCAGGGGTAGAGAGGGAGGTCTGTGGCATCCCTTGTATTGTCATACAGGATGGTGAAGCGATGGTGGCGCACAAGCTCCACACATCGGACCATTCTGACGACGTGTTGGCCATTTTCGAAGCACTGCGAGATGTCTTCCCAATGGCAGTTAAGAGCTCTCTTTCGCGTGTCGCAAACCTTTTGACCGGGAGTGGGGGGGCATCAAGTGAGACTCTTGGTGACCTGGTGTTGAAAGGGGGGGGGTTCCCAGAGATGTCTCAAAAGGAGGCAGGGATGTGGTTTGGAAGGCTAGGGTGCCCTGCAGAGCTCATCAGCAAGCCGCTGCAGCCTGTACAGATTCCCCCTGACGTAGAGTCTCAGAAAGTCCCAGTAGAAGGTAGGTTGAGTGCTGAGGTGGAGACAAAACAAGTGCACCAGGAAATGGATGCTTCATCTGGCGCAGGGGTAGCGGGCAGAGCGCCAGCACCCCAACCTGGTCTGACAGGGCAGCAGAGTGATGGAGATTCACTGAGAAATCGCGGCATCAAGAGAAGTGCACAAGACAATCTTGAGCATCTGGATAAGAAGGCCACGTTGGGAACAGGCACTACTATAGGGGCGGAAATGGTGGAGCGCCATACGGAACAGTGGTTCAGCAGACAAGATGATCGTGAAGGTCTTCGACAAGGATCACCGCCGGAACCGGGTGAGGTTGTACCATCATCAGGAACAACCGTGCCCAACCCTGGGCCAGACTTGGCACTTGGCCCTCGTTTGGGGGGAACAGGCATCAGCCAGTTCTCCACTGGGGTAGGAGAGCCTCAAAGGCAAGCGTGGCTACGGTTCAATCGAAATGTCGAGGACTTTGCAATCCATGAAGCAGATGTCAAAAACACCATTCGGGAAGAATTCAGAGCGACAGCACGTGCCACGGCACAGACCCCTGACATCGTCCATGATGCAATACAGGCCGGAACCGAAGAAGAGGAAGCTATTGAGCAGTTGGGAAGAAAAGGGGAAGAGTTTGCATACAGGCATTTGTTGATGAAGTACCAAGCTGATGACCAAGTGAAGGTAGTTTGGCTCAACCAGGCAGGTGAGACAGGGTCCTGCTTTGATATCATGGTGAGCCGAGGCGATCACGTGGAAGCGTATATTGAGGTGAAGACGACCATAGGTTTGAGAAAACAATGGTTTCCGATCTCGTACAGGGAGTGGCAGTTTGCAATATCGAAGGGCGAGACATTCCACATTCTGCGAGTGTATGGGATCGGGAGCGCGGGATCATACCGCATCATGCGCTTATCGAATCCTGCAAAGTTGTGGATGGAGGGAGTTATCAAGATCTGCTTGGCAATGTGAGCCATAGCAGTGCAGCATGCTTGTTGTGCCGAGTGACAATCTGTTCACATTCTACAGCATGTCTCTGCCTGCGAGCGACCAGAGTTCATCAGGTGTCAGTTAAACCCTGTTTGTATGTGGACTCTTGTGCACGTCTTACTTGCTCAATGCTGCATCTTGTAATGCGAGCCTGTGCTGACCAGCGGGTGAGTGTGTGCGAGTGGCCACATTTCTTTGGTCGCTATCACAACCATATCACACTTTATGTTGCTGCCTTGTGATCCACTCCACAACCTATTTTTTTCATGCCCCAATTTCTGAAATCTGGAAAGTTTCGCCTAGTATTTCTCAGGTTGCTGCATTAGACGACCCTCCTCCCTGTTTGTATGTGGACCTAAGAGCACTGACCAGTGGAACTAACCGTTGGACGAAATGTCACTACATTATAACAATGATAAACAATCGCTAATTTCCCCGCCGGTGACCAACAGATGATTGAGGCCCTCCGTTTTCTTGCGGTTCGACAACCCCAATTGGCTGCTGATTGTTTTCCAAAATGATAAATTCTTGATCGTTAGGAACTGAACAGTCACACTGGGCCGGTAGCAAAGTCGTGCTGCGTCAGCAACACTGTGCGCTGGGACGAAAAATTCCGCTGGGTAGTACCACTCGTGGCACTTGGGCTGTAGGCCGGAAAGAAATTTGCACTGGGTAGTGCCGCGCGCAGTACCGTGCCGCACATAGCTAACTACTTGAGGAGGCACCGCCAGGAAGAAACTGTGTCCCTATTGCCGACTTTGACTTTGCTACACGCCCCTATGCTATATAACTTCAACTTCGCTACTCTACTCTGCTGCTCGACTTTGACTTAACCGAGCCCCTCAACTTTGACTCGACGGTTTGACTTTGACTCTACTTCTCTACTCTGCCATGCTTGACTTGGACTTCACTACTCTACTACACTTTGATTTTGCTATGCGCCCCTATGTTTGTTTGACTTTGAAACTCTCCTCTGCTATGGTATACTGGACTCTCCACTGGCTACTCGGACGGTCTACTACCCTTTGCTGGACTCGGATGTTTGTGTGTGTGTGTGTGAGGAGGGCGGGGAGCGGAGAGCGCAAGAGAGAGAGAGGGAGAGAGGGAGAAATGGAACGCCACACTCTTCCCCTTCGTAGCAGACAGATTTTTAGGCCCCTCCTTTCCCATGCCTGCAAGAGGATATGCCCGTCAAAATCCAAGTGGTCATCTCCCATGGATGCCCCCAAGACCGACACCTGTGTCGAAGACTCTCTCTCACACACACACCAAAAAACTGTCTAGTTGTAAAATTGCCTAAATGTTGGGACTGTTTCAACTCACGTGCCCTCATGGTCTGCAATAGGACAAAAGCTGCTTCGATTCTGAATCTACTCTTCTGGGTGGAATTGGGGCTGTTGTGGGAAAAATTTAAAACACACACGGAATCCGAGTGGCAATCTCCCATCGATGCCCCCCTCCCCTGCCCCTCACTCTTTATAGAACTCCGCCTCTTACCCTTCCTCCCTTTGCTCATGTGCTATTAGTAAATGCATACGAATGAGCATCATTAAGGGAACGAACAATATAAGCTGAAGATCTGAAGTAAAATGAACAGGAGTATACCTCCCACTTTACTCTTCCTCGTTTCATAACGTGCAAGCGTGCCGTTAAGGCACACGGGGATGTGGACAGCTGGCGCTCAAGCACAATGAAACACAGCCAGCCTTGTACGTGAGAGGCATAGTAAAAGGGGAGCTGCAAGAGCAAATGAAAGGGGTACCCAAAGAAAACCAAAGTAACTACAGTTAAGAAAGGGATTTGAACGGATCTATTGTGGTCCATGTTGCTTGCTAGAGGTAAAACTGTTTCATTTTTCAAATTGTCTCAACTCGTGTTTTTTTTTTTTTTTTTTTTTTT